CAACCTAGTAGGCATGTTATACATAGCACTTAACAGTTTAGCACACAGACCAAAGCCAGTTAAACATAGAGTAAGCAACAGAAGAAGATTGATCCAGAGTAATCTAAGCCCAAAAGCACTCACTGCTCATCTCTGCAAGTTAACTGGCTCAGTTCTGCCCAACTGTCTGCAACATGGACAAATGATGTGTGGTATATCTGTCTCTGAAGAAACTGTGACAGTGTGCTAAATGCCCATCTTGTGACGTGCAGCTAGTCCACAGGAAGAGGACAGAGTCAGTGGCTCTTACCTGGAGCTGCACAACACCTCCCCCCAAGTCCTTGCCACCTCCCCCACCGGGCAGAAGGCAGGAGAGTAGCAAGCAACCTCCCATCAGAAATGTTCTTCCAAGCAATTCGCCACCCAGCACATTTATCAGCGGTGCTAAGTAAGATGCGACTGCAAATAATTTAATTTTTAAAACGCAAGCTTCCTGTTGCCATAGATCAATTAAAGCCTCTCACTTTTATTGCCAGATTGACGTGGGCATATTTATCACTGTTTACCATGGGAGCTCTGCTCTGCTTGCTGTGTTCAACAAGCTGAAAACCCCCTCTAAAACCAGAGTGCAACGGAGGTACACAATTGATAGATTATCTATGATGTGAGAAGATAACTGTCCCCTGCCTACCTTCCTGAGTTTTCCAATATTTCTACATAGACTATTACTGATTTTAAGGGGAAAAAATTCACAAATAAATCATAAGTATTTCACATAAATCTAGATGTTAGAGTGTGGTTGTTAATGCATGTAAACTCAAGGTACAATATGTCATGCCTCCTGACTGTTAGCCAGCTAACTCTCTACACATTCCAACCTCATTCCAAGGAAGATGATGGGACCTGACCCAGGAAACTATGCTCCAGGAGCTCATCTGAGCCACATTCCTGTAGCTGACCTGGGTCCCATCCATCACAAGAAACAGACCCAGGATGAAGAGCCAAAAGGCAGACACCTTTGGGCCTTTAAGGGAGACAGAGGTTTCATATGGGTTTCTTCCCTTGCTTCCATTTCCAGCATACAACTTGATAAGACACACAATGGTTCCGAAGACTTTAATCTCCAGAAAGACTCGCTGAAACAACATAACCTGAATCTGCGATTTCATCAGGGAGAACTAACCAATTTATTGGACAGCTCAAGTGAGAGGAAGGTGGGTTTATTATAGTTAATAAAGAAGACCATGAGCTGTAATAGGAATGAGAGGACACCCACCATACCGCCAAGCAAAAGTTCAAAACTTTAAAATCCATAATTATCTTTCTGCCAGCATGAATAGGTACCCACAGGGTAATGAACAGAACTCTTTGTGTGTGGTGTGTGTATATGTATATACATATGTATGTACATGTGCATGCATATATATGTATGCATGCATGCATGTATATATGTAGGTATGTATGCATGCATACATGTGTTTTTAAAGAATAATTTTTGAATGCACAACAAAGAAACACCAAGCTGGGCAATAACTAGAGTACCACCCACATGTCTCCTTTCAGTGTGGGGATTAAACTCAGGGTCTCATCTGTGCTAGCCACGTGCTCTGCCCCACGCTCTGTCTCCAGTGCTCACAGAACTCTTTTCTGAAGGTAATTCACAGTGATGAGGGTATGTACTGAGAACAAATAACAAAACAACACAGAAAGCTATTCTCACGTGCGTGCCTAAAGACTAATACCTCCTTTTGAACATCTTGGCAAGAGTTAAGTCTGAACCTGGCCAGCCTGAGATGCCCTGGAACAGACCAATAACAAGCCAGGCAATTAAGTCATCAAAAATGCCCAACAAAAGAAAGTCCAAGATCTCCTGGATTCACTAGTGCATTCGACCAAGGAGAAAAAAGTTCATGCCAATCCTTGGATTGTCTCAAATAACAGAAGAACAAATACTAGCATAAACACAAAGAACACTTCCAAATGCCTTTTACAATGCCAGCATTGCCGATATACCACAGCTGGGCAAAAACATCGCCAATATCCCTGATAAACTTAACATTTGAAAATCCTTAATAATACCAGAAAGCAAATTCAACAGCACATTAAAGGGGATTATATACTGTGGAACAGGATTGGTACAACATACACAAATCAATAATGTCACAGCCCTTGCCAAAATAACAAATGATGAAAGTCGAGTGGTCACCTCGGATCCAGGAAAAAAGCATTCGACAAAATTCCATACCCTTTGATAAGAAGCTCAATGAATCAGGTATAGACAGGCTGTACTTCCATATAATGAAGACTTTCCATCAGCCCCTCTCTGGAAAGCTACTGGCTGTTGATGGCTCCTGGGGGAGGGAGAGTCATTGTCTTCCTGATGTAGCCACTTGAGTCTCCCATGCTCCCGTGAATAATTCATATCCATGGCCATTTATGGGCATCCTGGTCAAATTCAGTCACAAAACAAAGCCACACAAATAAAAAAGACACACTACTGAGAGAGGGCACTCATGGAGAAGAAGGGCTGATGGAGTTGGGAGAGGAAAAGGAGAGGGTAGGGTGGTGCGACCAGAAGATATCATATACATATATGGAATTGTCAAAAATAAACTAAATTTTTAAAGATACAGATTAAACAGCGAATAATGACTACAAATATCTGAGTTAAGATTTACAGTTATTTTTAGCTAGGCACAGTGGCACATTCTTTAATCCCGGCTCTCGGGAGGCAGAGGTAGATGGATATCTGTGAGTTCAAGGCCAGCCGAGTCTACATAGAGAGTTCTGAGACAGCCTGAACTACATAGTGAGAGCCTGTCTCAAAAAAAAAAAAGATTTATGTTTATTTTTAATTATGTGTGTGAATAGAGGAGCCTGCAGAGTCCAGTAGACAGTATCAGGGTATAACCAGAGTCTTATACTCTTTACTGAATGTCACATTACTGAAATCTATTGATGATTAAAATCCATTTTAAAGGAAAAAATAAGAAGTCTATATATGGCAGGCCCCAGAAAACATGGCACTAGATGATAACAATCTGGAAGGTTCTCCTTACCCACAGGACAAGGACACTCTTGTCACTTTTCTTCAGCATATTTCTAGAGGCCCCAGCCAGAGCAATTAGGCAAGAAAAGAAATAATGAGGATCAAAACTAAATCAAAAGACTAGAAGGAAAATTGTCTCCATTTGCACACATTATGATTACACAGAGAGAGAGAGAGAAGACGCAATGATTCTATCAAAACAAATTCGGGCAAGTCACCAGATAAAAAATCAACATATAAAAGTCAGTTCCATTTCTATACACTAAGAATAATCCAGAACAGAATAAGTAAGCAAACAATCCCATTTACAAAAGAACTGAAGGAAGAAATAAAATACTTAGTGATAAATTTAACCAAAGAAGTGAAAGATCTACTCAACAAAAACTATAAAACACTCCTAAAATCAATTTAAAGACAATACAAATAAATGAGGATAGTGTCTGTGTCTATTGCCTGGGTGAGTAGCTAAAGGGACTTTACACTTAGATTGCAATCCCTACCAAAACGGCAACGTTTTCACATGACTGTTCCCATTTCCATGACCTGCACCCACTGACACACTCCTTCAAAGGACCAAACCTCCTCAGACCCACCTCTGAGTTTCCACCAGATATTAACTAGGCAACTACAACTCCCAAGCCATGAGTCCCTGGTCCCCTAGAGGCCACTCACATGGATAGAACTTGGGACATTATGAAGAACATCTTGCCTGAGTCCAGGCAGAGGAGCTATGTAAGGTGTAAACATCTAAAACCCAGTTTACTCCAGGTTTTACACTCTGTCCTCCTTCTGACACTGCAACCACAAAGCACCCTGGATTTCTCTAGGGACAGCAATTCCATTCAGCCACCTTTTGCATTGACACTGCAAGGTTTAGATCTCCACATGTGCCCAGAGGCTAAGAACCTCTTGGGAGTCAGGGAGTACATATACAGGGACACATTCTTCCTCTATCACCCTCAAGACACCCCTTTTCTGGAGACTACACAGTTCAGTGTAGCCTAGGCACCCACTAGGTGACATGAGGCTGACTTACTGAAACTGCCATTCTCCCTTACCTGCTGAGAGCCAGTATCCTGAGTTCTATCCATTCCCCCGCCCCCCAATTCTTCATTCCCAAGTATCCTCACTCTTTGAAAGAGACAAGGACCTAAGAACTAGATGCAAGGACATACCTGGGTCTTGGAATGGTGGTCAAGTTTCAAGCAGAAGGCAGGCTGGAACTCAAGAACAGCGCTTAGAAAACAGCCTAAATGCAGAAGCTCTAGAGCAGGCCAGGCTTGACCCTTGTCCACCTGTTCTATCAACGCCTACTGTCCAAGTGCCGCCGCCTTTCCTCTGCTAAGCCCACACACCAGCACAACTCATCATCTTTTAAGAATGAAATGCTGTCCTCCACTGGACTGCCATTACAAGATCACACTTACCTTTGGTGGAGACTCAAACAGGTGCTAGAAACCCCATCCCCCACCACCACCACCACCACTTCACATCAATAGTCATCTTTTGTGAGAGCATCCTCGAGAATATTTAAAACATCAAAGCTGAAAAACACACCTACACACACCCTATCTGTGATTTGATACACTCTGTGAGAGGCAGTCACTCTTAGGAAATAAAGCTAAAAACACTCACTGGCCCATCTCATTCTTTTCCTTAAAAGGATTCAGACTCATGTATATAGGTGTCCATGGAAAAGGAAAAGAGCATAGTACAAAGTATAAGGTCCCCACACACACACACACACAGTCGTGAGGTGAACAAGGCTCAGACGCTCTGACCTTCGTAGGCAGCACTTACTAGAAGACCAGCCATGATCTCTAAGATCATTTGCAGCAGGGTCTAGTGTGTGGTCTCATCTTTCTCAAGACCCTGTAAAGACCAGGGATCTGTGACATGTGCCTGCTTCCCCAAAGTCCTGGAGGGAACTGGGTGGCTCAGTCCTGGCCTGCATTTCTCTTAGCTTACATACCTCAAGAGGTTGAAGCTCAGGTCAAGCCTCTTTGCAAAATGTCCAAAGTCCCGGCCCAGGTACTCCGGAATTTCTCTGCAGTACTGGCCTACATAGGACACCTGCAAATTGAATGGAACAAAAATAGAAATTAACCAGCTACTCACAACCCAGAGCATCCGATCCCATGATTGCTTCCTCAACCTGTAAGGCTGGATCTTCCACACAAAAAGGCTAAGCTGTACCTATTTCCTCAAGCTTTGGGGAACTCTGCCAACAGCTCCCTTTCCTGGCACAGTTAGCTTGATGGAGATATATTGTGGCACAATAGAAATTAGATTAAAACTAGATGAGGTACAGGTGACCAAACAAGCCCAAGTTCACAACATGTGAGGATAACCATCCTAAAGCCACCTTTGTGATGGCTGCCCATCCGGCTCTCCTCCCTCGCCCAACCACCTCATATTACATTCGTCCTCACAGAAGAGAAGACAGGGTGGATACTCTCCTAAGCAGGCCTCAGCCTTTTCTCTAGCTTCAGAAGCAATTCCTACAATCACCGTGAAAAACGTTCCTTCCACTCTCTGACCCTGCCACAAAAATCAAATCTACAAACTTTGTGCTCAAATGTACGATCGAGTTATTTTTGAAAATCTTAAACCACACTTAAAGTAAGTTCATGATTTTGTGTTGGACTCCACTCACAGCTATCAGTGACAGCATGCAGCCCTCTGGGCCACAGGCTGAACCTATATTTGAACCCCCAAGGCACTAAAACAAGCTGGGCACAGAAGAGGCCATCAGTCCCACTGCATTACCTCTGTGTGTAAACGCCCACCACACTCCTTACAAAGTGCTGACAAGGCCTACGGTAGCACATGGACAGCATTTCTAAGGTTTTACATTGGGAGGCCACTTTCTGTTTAAATGGTTTTGCCTGTGTGTTTTGCTCTGCTCCACGACTTGATTTTGCCCAGGTCTTATGAGGGTGACCATAGCTGCTGTACGATGGTCCTGTCATGTCCAGAAAACCTGTGTCACTCAGTCCTCTGCCAGCTCTAGCTCTTACAGGCTTCCTAACCCACTTCTGTCATTGTTGGAGAAGACTGATGTGGATGTCCCGGGTTAGCCCTCCAGTGACACTTACTCTCTGCACTTTGAACAGCTACGTATTTCTTCATTAACCATCTCCAACTTCACAAAGAAACCTCTCTGAAGAGATCTGAAAGCTGCATTAAGCTATGGTTTAACAGTATGAATTTGGAGGCACACTTGATAGTATGTCCATTTAGCAGAATGGCAGTCATACGTTCATCCCTGGGGCTCTCACCAACTTTGGATTCTTGGCCACATTTACAATGCCAGGCATGTTTCCTCCCATGGAACAGGCCTTCAATGCAGCGGTTGGTTACCCCCATACCATTCAGGCCACCATTGCCTCTACGGGCACATCTTCCCCAGCAGTACACATAGTGTGTATGTATGTTCCTGTTCAGAGAGGTTTTGGTAAGCCTTTTGCTTCCTTCAGCAGTCTTTTTATTTTTATCTTATTATATGTAATCATTTAAGCAGCTTTTAATATTTCCAAATATTAAAAGGCCTAAAATTTTTGATTCTAGAACTTTTGAGAAGACCTTCAGGGGCCCTGCTCGCTACACTAACCACCCAATTTGGGAATCTATTTGTATCCATTATACAGGCTGCAGGCAGAAAAGCATGACCAAGAGAGACATAGACATACAATGTTACTGAACTACACTACTTTCAAACCACAGGTAGACACTCAGGCCCTTCATATGGCTATAACCCTGGTCCTGTCTCCCTACAAATTTACCTTCTATGCTGACAGACCAAGATGTCTTGGGATGACTAACAGGTCCCCAGAGCACTTTGTCTCTTAACAGGGGAGAAAACGTGGCAGTCATCAAACATCCTGAGATATTAGGCTGAGCCTACCGAAAGCTGATAACCAGCCATGTCAGAACTACAAAGCAGAATGTTCCCATGACATCACAACCACCTCAGCACCCTCCTTCTCTAAGACACCCCTCTCCTACATGATGGCAAATGCTGGCAACACAATGTCTCATATTTTCTGTCTTCCAGTCACTGTCCTTCAGCAATTTCGTTCCAAGAAGAGACAAAGAGAGATGAGAAGTGGCAGAAAGACAGGTGACTTATAACTGAAGACACTGAACCCCTATAATCTCAACACAGGCAAAGCAGTTGCCTGGGCAACTTAATATGTTCAAAGCCAGCCTGAGGAGCATAGCCAGTCCCCTGTTTTGTACACCTCTAAGAGAAAAAGAAGAGAGAGAAAGAGAGAGAGAGAGAGAGAGAGAGAGAGAGAGAGAGAGAGAGGACCTCAGCAAAATATTTTTTAATTTTTAACAAGTGTTTATTTTCTCTCGTTCATGTGTGTACATGTGTATTGTGTGTACATGTATACACTGTGGTACATACTTGGCAGACAGAAGACAACGTGAAGTTCTCTTCTTCCAACACATAGGTTCTCCAGGATCAAAATCAGGCTTGGTAGCAACTGCTTTTACCCATTGAATTTTCTTAATGGCCCAATAAAATAATTTTTACTCAGGAAGATAACAATAAATAATAAGAATAGTAATAAGAATGAGAATAAGAATAAAAGAATAAGAACAATAGTAATAATGGGATCTTGCATCAATCTAGCAATCTGTCCCTTTTCTATATTAGATTCATTTTCTGCAGCACTTAGGTTAATAAAGTAAGTTCTGTGTCCATGCTGAGATGAAAATCATACACCAAGGAGAGATTGAGGCTATAAGGTCCCAATAAATCCATTAGGCTTGGTCTCAATCTGTAATGTGTTCTGTGTGTTCACCTTAACCCTCCAGGTCCATGGGGCTCCCTTGAAAACCCAGCATGTGCCACCACAATTTTGTGACATCAACACATAAGATTTCTGTGATATCCAAAGCAGATATGCTTTGTCTTAAATAGAGACACTGAGCCCTGTCCTTAGAGACTAGGCAAGGAGTAGATCTAATGGGGACCCAGCTTATCAAATCTCAACGTCCACATAGGGAAGAAAGTCCTCTCAATATAACACAGAGACAGTGATAGAGCCTGGTAAGTTCTGAACTGTGGATAAGTGCTTCCCAATGTAGGGACCATAAAGTGCTTACCCTCAGGACAGTTGCTTCTAGGGCCTTTCTAATGTGCCGTCAGTCACCAGATTGAGGGCAGATTCCCTGGGACACACACACACATACACTACCACCACACCACACTCACCCACTCCATCCACCATCCCCATCTATTTCCAAGTTAGTGACTCTCACCAGAAGCCCTGTCCAGGTCTATTTTCGAGCACCAGTGTTGCTATCTATTAGCTGTTTCCTTGAATATGTCACAGTGACCTGGAACCTGTTCTCTTTTGTTTTCTTCATTCAGAGAGTCACATGTATCTCAGGCTGGCCCAGAGTTCACTATGTACCCAAGGATGACCTTCAGCTTCTGCACTTCCTGCCTGGGTCAAACCCAGGGCCTTATGCATGCTAAGCAGGTGCTGGACCAGCTGGTGACTCTCAGCCTCTGCTTCCTCTTTTTTGAACTTATCCAGTACAATCTCAACCACCACCAAGAGCAGTTTCAATAGCACAGTAACACTTAATAAATGCCAGCCCTGTGCAGTCCAGTTATCTGTTGCATCCTCAAGGAATAGCCTTTGGGATCAGGCAGTGTTGTCCCCATTGTACTTGTATAACAGAACGAAAATAGCATATGAAAAGCACTCACCTAATCAATAGCTGCTGTTCAGATCAATATCCCCATGGAGGGGATTGGTTATTTTCATTATTTCTTGAGCCTAAGATTTCAGTGCCCAAATTTCAAGTTTGCGTTTATGTCTGTGATTGTATCCAAGCCACAAACTGTAGCTGTCATACATTAATGGAAAAAGGGAGGGTGTTATGTTGAATATAAATGAAGCATTCAAGCCAAGAAAAGCCAAGTGAGGTCAGGCCCACAATGAATAAAAAGATTTAACAGAGTAAAGGGATGGGATAGCATCAACTGTCCCACTTGCATGTCAGCCCACGGTGGTCCACACCAGCCATCAGCCCATGGTGGCCCCAGGAACACCAATATAGCATCACACAAATATCACTAGCCATCTCTTTAAATTGTTCTTTAAATTTTTATTGAGATCTTTCCCTTGCACTTAGATCACCCCATTATTTAGGATATATGTTCTCTAAGTACTGAAAAAGTTACATCCAATTTTATGCTTGGATATTTCAGTTACATTATAATGAAAATGATAATCCATCCCTTGGATAATCCTGCAATCCAACCTCTCAGGAGGTTTTTCCCCCTTTCAGAAGAGTCAGGGTAGAGCAAGCTAGAAAAATGGCTCAATTGTTGAGAGCACTTACTGCTCTTCCAGAGGACACAAGTTCTGTTCCCAGCACCCATGTCTGGTTGCTCACAACTACCTGTGACTCTAGCTCCAGGAGATCTGTCATAGTCTGCTTTACATTGTTTTCTTTGTTCAGTGAGTCGCATGCATCTCAGGCTGGTCTGGAGTTCACAATGTACCCAAGGATGACCTTCTGCTTCTAACCACTAACCAAAAGCAACTCATGGAAAGGGTTTACTTGGATTGAATATTCCAGGTCACTGTCTACTGAGGAAAGGCAAGGCAAGGGGAAGCAGAGACAAGCAGGAACTCCAAACATTGGCTTGCTTTTCATGGCTTGCCTACAGGCCAATCCGATGGGGACATTTTCCCCATGAGATTCCCTCTTCTCAGATGACTCTAGCTTATGTCAGCTTATGTCAAGCTGACAAAACCTAACCAACACTATATATGATGTGCACTTTTGGTTTTCTTGGGCACACACAGGGGTGTGTGGGTGTGGGTGTGTGGGTGTGTGTCCATGCATGTAAGGTCATAGTATAATACAACCTATTGGAATCAATTCTCTCCTTTTGTTTTGTTTTGTTTGTTTGTTTGTCTGTTTGTTTTTTCAAGACAGAGTTTCTCTGTAATAGCCCTGGCTGTACTGGAACTCACTCTGTAGACCAGGCTGTCCCCAAACTCACAGAGATTTGCCTGCCTCTGACTCCAAAGTGCTGGGATTAAAGGTGTGTACCACCACAAACAGCTCAAAATAAATCATTTTAAAGATTTTTTTTTTTAAAAGAAGGATCTAGGGCTGGAGATGTCACTCAGTGGTATCATGCTGGCTTACCATGTGGAAGTCCTGGATTAGAGTTCCAGCACCAAGTTAGTTAATTAATAAAAGATCTACCTGAAAATAGAATAGTGGTTTGCTGAAATTTTAACTGTTAAGAGGTTAAAAGGAATATCTTCTAATGTTCTATAATACACAGTAGCAATGGGTGATAACCACTATGAATTGTATGTTTCAAAACAGCCAGCAGAGAGGACCAAAAGTCTGTAGCACAAGCAACTAAATGATAAGTATTTACTATAACAGATACACCAATCCTACTCTTCTGATCATTACACACTATATACATGTATTGAAATATTATATTGCATCTTATTAAATGGGTATTTTTCAAAAAAGGAACTGCCTGTCGGAATTGTGCACATTCAAGGCACTACCTCTCACAGTGTTATAAATTGTGTGGAGTGAATGCTAGCAAATAGTCTAGCCCCAGAGCCAGATGGTGTACAAAAAAAGATAATAACACCCCAAGGTACACCGGAGCCTTCCTGGCTCCTCCCAGTGATTTATCTTGAAGTACTGGGCAGGGCCCAAAAAACATCTTACCCACAAGTCAGCAGATGACCCTGAGCCCTGTGCAGCAGGCTCCATTAGGGGTACCGGAAACATCAAGTCTTGAAGAGGACAAGATAAGAAAAAGGAAGTCTTGAGAAGTTTCAACCTTGCTGTCAAGTTCTCAAGGAATTTGGAAGAAACTTTGCACAAAGAATGCTAGGACCCAAAATGCAGAAACCACAGCATGCAGGAGGGGAACCCTGCCTCTAAGGCAGATACATGAAGAGACAGGACCCCCTTCCCACACACACCCCTCTTTCTAGGAAGTCAAACTCACTTCCAGAAGCCCCTTTACCCTGGCTCATAATAGGATCCTCATTTTCTGGCCACTCTGCACAGACTGACAGCAGCCTGGCAGGCTCACTTCTGAACTCTGGACTTGTGCCTGCCTGAGGCTCTAAGACAGAGCCAGCGATCCTGAGAGATTAGGTCTATAGGGGCAGCAGAGAAATGGTAATTCAGCTCATTTCCATCAACACCTGCAGGGTGCCTGGTGCATAGTAGTCACTCAATAAATGACTTCAGTTGAGGAATGAACTACCATTTCTTTTACAAAGAAATGGAGTAGTTTTGTTTGGTAGGGTGCACCCAGCAGGCATTCCTTGTGTTTCCCATTTGTAAAATTCTTAGGCCTCTGAGGAGAAACCATTCCCTTATCCCTGATGCTCTGCACCTAGAGGGAGAGCTTTCACCCAGTTTCCCTAGGGTGGAGAAGAACTTTGCAAAATGAGAATGCTGGCTTCATGGGAGGAAAAGCAAAAGAGAAACCTTGGTTTTTTTCAGCAGATACAGGGCCCCTGTTCAGCCTAGTGGAGTTCTCTCCGAACACCAGAGACCTCACTACAGGGCTGAAAACAAGCACTGCTAGGTGTCTACCATCGGGTCTTGCCATGCCCTAGTGACACCTTCTCAAGAAGTCCAAGACGGCATAAAACTGTAACACACCCTGGGCCTCCACCAGTGGGCCTTCCTTGAAAAGGAAGATCATTCTGAAGAGCGCTCCTCCAGTCCCCAGCCGGACAACACGTTGTGGTTTTCACTGTGGCTCCGGGGATTCTGTGCACTTTGCTGTATGGGCCCCTTTCCTCCATGTATCTGATCTTCTATACAGCTCCCCTGGTATCAACAGCTAAACGGTTTCATGTTAAAACAGTTTTCTTACACCCCAAAAGTTCTTTTAAAATCCGCATTGTGAAAGAAAAAACTGAAACGCTTTTGGTGGACCCTGAAAAATATCAGCCACCAGCAGTGGGTCTCGTGGAGAAGTTAGTCCCTAAGTGTTGATCAGTGTGACTCTAGGGACAGAGAGAGTTGGGGGATCGCAACTGCTTACCACACCACTACAGAGTGTGCCAGGATCAAAGAAGGGCCTGACCTCTTCTTCAACTTGGAAGAAGTGTGGGCACTGGGCACACATCACCTCCACATGCGACCTCCCAGGACAAGGGCGCTCACAATAAGCCTTGGGGACCCGTACTCTGCTGTCCCTCCCATCCCCAACTGGATCCCAGGACTAGACAGGGCTCACTTGGACCGACTTACTTGAGTTCCACTGACCATGAGCCCAGCCATGGTGGCAGGGACCCAGCAGGCGGGCGGCACTGAGCAGGGTAGCAGGCGGTGCAGTTCCGCACTGGGCGGTCAGCTGACCAGCGGAAGCCCTGAGCGCCGGTCGGCCACCAAGAACTGTGCGCAGCAGCTCTGCCGCCGCTGCCGCTGCCGCTGGCTGGCTCAACCCGGTGCACGTGAACTTCCACTGCCTGGCAGCTCGCAGCGGGTGGCCCCCTGCGCTGCACCCAGCGTGGGAACCCCACACGACTGCTTCTCTCTCCTGCACATTTCCTGCCCGATCCCTGTTCCCCAAGAGGTGCCCCCTCCAGAATCCAATGCCCAGAACTTTATTGCATTTATCAGACAAAGGCTTCAGGGTGGAGTGAAGGGGGTCCCCATCATGGACGTGTCATCAGAGCCGCTGTTAGTTCCCGGCTCAGAACTGGGCCTTCCCAGAATTTCACAATCTAGGTTACATAACTGCCCTCAACTGCTAGAAGGAGTGGCCTCTCCACTCAAAGTCCCCACGACAGTCTAAAAAGTGCTAGCAGCAATAGGGAATGGATCTTCTGATGGGAGCTTCCGTTTATTAGACGGAAGGCTGCAAGGGAAAGTTGAATTTCCCCTTATAATGCTGGCTGGTCATACGACCCCTACTCACTTCACATGCCTTTACCGGGCTCATTACCACCCCAGCAGCTGACAGTAATGAAACTTAGGGCAGGAATATTGGTAATGTCTCCAAACCTCAGGATCCTCCTATTCCTATTCTTCTCCAAAGGAAGAGACATATGTAAGAATCAAAACAATTAACTGTGTCTGTGGCAGTGCACATGTGAGCTTAAACACACATACACAGTACACACACACCCCTCCCACCTCCACCTCCACCTCCACCTCCACCTCCACCTCCACCTCCACCTCCACCTCCACCTCCA